AGCATTGTTAGGTGGGTTTAGCATGTGGAATGTTTCAAGGAAATAAACTCAATTTACGGTTGTTTTAACGAACACTCCGATGTTCTGCTCCGTGAAGAACAGGGTAGGAAGACGCAGGAACTTCATGGATGTAAATACATGTTCCCACTCCCTGGCAGAGCCTGTCTGTGATTTCAGCAACAGCTAAAACAGCATCTTTAAAATCCAGATTCTGGATTGTTTTGCCTGAAATTGGGTGAAGATCAGAGTCGAGTCTCTAATCTCTTTGGTAGTGCCGGATTCAGAACACGTTGCAGACCTAAACACCTCTGCTGCTCCCCGGTTCACCTCAGCCCCTCTCCCAGCACACCGCTGCCCACGCTCCCCAGCCCCGTTATTAAAACCGATTGAAACCAGCCATCCTGCCAGTTCAGGCAGCGCTTGGGAAGGACACGCCATGCACTCCCAGCTCCGCTTGCATTTTAAGTTTCCCACATGGCTTCGTTCCTGCCGGCTCCCATTGGCAGCCGCCATCCCCGCCGCGTTCCCGGCCTGGGTGTTGGCAGGCTGTGAGTACAACCCTACCACACACAGCCTGCACGTTGCGCACAGGCAGCGCAGGCAGCTGCCTCGTTCCTGGCCCTGGGTTTCATGCGAGACGTGCCGACACGCCGGGAACAGCCTGATTCCACTGCCGGCTCGCCGCTGCCCTGCGTGGGGAGCAGGGGTGGGTGGCTGACGTGGCAGGGAGCTTTTGGGGTGAAAAACCCATTCCTGGGCAGGCTTGTGTGGCAGCTGCTGGTGTAATGGGGTGTGGGGGGGGGTGGTGTGATAATTTTTGTTATGCTTTGGACATTTGCGTTGCACAGGTCTAAAGCAGCTCTTGAGGCTCTCATTGCTAGGGAGGTTTTGGGGTGTGTGTTATTAAATGCCAACAGGAGGAAAGAGAGAGGTTTGTTCTACAGCCTGATGATAAAAAAGGGTACCTGAGATATGGCAGGTCTCGGTTCAAAGCTTTGAAATAAATTGTCATTATCCAGTTCCTCATATGAGAAAGAAAAATACTGTGGGAGAGTACAAAAGGCTCATTTCAGGGTTGCTATCACCCGGGTGGTGAGGATGCTCGCTGGGCACCGGGGAGAGCTGTCTTAAACTGACCCACATCCCATCCAGGGCTGTAATCCTGCCCTGCTGCAGCTCAGGGTAATTCCCTCCTTGCAGTCTCCTCTCCACCGTGTGCGGGAGCAGTCTCAGGGGGAACTGTGGGAAGGGAAAGCCGTTTCCCTCCCCCTTTGCTAATAAAAATTTGGGTGCAGCTTCAGCTGACTGCAATTTGAACTTCCCCCAAACCAGGAAACTTGTGGATAGGCTGGAGAAAAACTAAAGGAAATTCTCGAGCTTTCCAAAAGCGAATCCCTTCTTCTTGTATGACTCTTGCTCACATTGAAAGAGCCAAGCTTCTTAGCTTTTGAATAAGCCAAGTGCTGCTTTAGTTCCAATTTACAAGTAGAAATGGATGTATTTGAGGTATGTGTGTAAATACGGTAACTGCTCACTATGCGCCCAAGCAGTTTGGTGTCTTTATGCCAAGCGCTGGCTTTGATAGTAATTATTTCTGAGAGCTCAAAAGGTGTCTCTTGCCTGGTGTGACAGATTTTGGTGGCCATGTACAGCTGTCTCTGACACCTGCTCCATCTCAACATGACAATCACAGGAGAGGAAGTTTTAGCAAAGGGTTTGAGGGAAAGGAAACATATATGGAATTCACCATCGTCTGCCCCCAAAGAAACCCTGATAATCCAGATATATTTTCTTTGTGCAATACGCAGCATACGCAGACCTGCTAAGCCTCAGCAAACGTGTTTCGGCAAGCAGCCGGTGTTTGAGGTGGCTGGGGAGGGCTGTGCTGGGCGAGCTGCGGGGTGAGTGCCAGTCAAAGCATCCATTTTAGCCCTCACAAAGCCACCCGGTCACATAGTAATTAATCAGGGCTTGGCTTTTGCTCCCCACAAAAGGGGTATTTGGGACCAGGTGTAGTCATCAAGGTCCAGCTGTTGCCCTCAGCTCTGCAGATGGGATGTGCTCAGAGAGCAGTGCCCGTCCCCAGGGGAGCATAACCATACCTGTGTGCAGAGCGTGTCACCGCTTTCTCCAGCTAATTAGAGGGGCATTGTTGCTGGTGAAAGGTCTGTCATTTCGTCTCATTAACTATTCCTTTCAGGTCTCTGCCCCAGCGTCAGGCTCCCTGGCAAACCAAGGGTGAAGCCTGGCTTTGTGTCTGAGGGTAAGTCCTAGTGGGACCGGTGGCAATTTGCCACCCCCAGGGGGGTGGTTTGCAGCTCGGAGGGCAGGGATCAGTGGTTGTGAACTCCCGAAATAAGGAAGAAGATTTTTAGCAATGGGATTGTCATTTGAACCAAAATCTTCACCATTTTTGAACCACCTGGAAGCAGAAATCTTCCAAGGTGAGCACAATATGTAACTGAGCTGGAGGAAAAATGTCTGTGCTTTAAGACATGGAGATAAACCCCAAAGGCATGCCATCCTTTGAAGGGGGGGCTATTGGAACAGAGAGGCTCACCCCCAAAATAAATAGTGTCAGTGGGAAAATGAGAGGGCTCCAGATCAGCCTTTGGGTCTACCAGGGAAAGGACACTTGTGTCTTTATGCCAAAACAAGGTTTGGACGGGGTCTGTGCCCTGACCTGTCCTCAGGTGAGGCTTTCCCTCCTTCAGTGGGTGTGCACAACATCCTAAACCATCACAGAGTCCCTTAGATACTTCTCTGCATCCCAGGCACCAGAAGATACACAGTTTTTACCGTTATTAGAAATATTTCAGTGTTGCTGGTTTTGGTTATGATGGTTATTCCAAGTGCAAGGTGAGCTACAAGTTGGATTAAACTGTCCTTCAAAATGCTGCAACATTTCCTACAAGGAAGGCGAAGATGCCAGTCGTCACGAGAAATCTTTGTGAAATGGCCACGAAACTGAAGTTGCTTTTTGCTGTTGAGGCAAACTGATGTGAATGGCTCGTCTGAGTTTAATGTATAAGAATATCCCAATCAACCCGTCAAGGAGAAGATTAAACATTTGAAGTGACGTGACATAATCCCTGCATATCGTGTCAGGAATTTGCGTGAGGAATTAGACTTAAATGCTCACGAGAAAATTCAGCATTAAGGTGGAGGTGCACAGATGCGATGCATGTTGTGTGTAGCTGGTTCCCCC